CATATGTAGGTTTCATAATTCGCCACTCAAAGACAATTGTTAAAAAATAAACTAATTAGTATGCTAATAAAGAAATAATGAATGAAGAAATTTATGGAGAAAATACGACAGTGTTATCACTAGTTAACCACTATTGTGTGAATGAATGTTATAGGAAGGTGTAGTAGTATTTTGTTACTAAATATCAGTGCGAAATGTTCGATAACTGATGTTTCAAAATCAGTTTATTCTTTTCACTAGGTTTAGTAAGATACCAATCCAATGAGGTTAAATCTGAAAAAAAGAAGAGACCCACTCACCAGGATCGTCAAGCCATAGTTCGCCTTGAGTCTCCTTGCCAAAGACCGGCATTAATCTGGCTGGCGGGACGTCTAGGAAGTGTTCAACTTCCTTGACCAACTCACCGGCACGGAGCTGCTGTAATTGACAGCCCCCAGAAGTTTGTCGACTTCCAGATTCATTAGCAACACTGTTAGACTGACAACCAGTAAGTGTCCGAGGTATAAGACTGACGGGGCGGATTCGAAAGGCAAGTGGTGATGATGATGAGGATTTCGACAAATCAATACTACCGTCTAAAGCCTCATCAGCGAAGCCGGAGGAAGAGGAACGAGAAGAGGTAGAACATGCTGTCGACATATGATTTGATGCTCGAGCGTTTGAAAGAACCGGCACAAGAAGCGGAGTTACAAGAGATACTAGAAATGAAGAATAGGGTGGATACATGAATTAGGTATAAGAGACGAGAGATTAATGTATGCAGATATTTGCTAAAGATATATTGGCGGAATTCAAACTCTATCTTCAATTCATTGTCTTGGCGAAAAACCTCTAGATTCAGGCAGGAATAAATTGGCTTAAACTATAGCAATAATTGGGTTGGTTTGACCTGTTTTCGCAACTTGTTAGGAGCGACAGAGAGACCTCGTGAAACGTGTCTAGTCCTAAGGCCCCTGTTATATTATTCATGATGACTTCCATCACCGAGCTGTTGACTTGGTATATTCCCACAAGTTTCACCGGCTTAACACTAAAGTGACTTGCCACTTTGATAAGTTGTAACTCTGTCCTAAGCATGACGTCTATCCCTGAGTGTGCCGACTATGATGCCGAAGTAACGTGTGGAAATGTACTAAGTCAATGAATGGCCATATGTCGGAAATCATCGAAAACGAGATCCAACTAACACAATACAGCTAAAGGAGCATGCGAACAAATAAAGGGCCACACGATCTTGGTCCTCATTCCTACGATCTAATATGAAAATAATTGCTTAAAAGCTGGAGAGTAATATGGCCAAAAATATAATTCAGATATACCTATGATACAATTTATTAGAGGCTTTCAATGCTGATAGATAAATCGCTTATTCCTGAAGTTAAGAAGACGGTAGCCACCCCTTAAAAGAGACACAAAGCCGAAATTAAGGTAAGTATGAAATCCGAAAATCATGGACAAGGTTATCCTTAAATTACGTATTCCCAGAACGGATTACATCTTTACTTTAGCCACGCTTTGAATAAACACGCGAATGTAGTGCAATTTCGTAATGCGTAAGTATGCTGAGTGAGCATGACTTTTAATGAGATACATGAAGAATTTGACTCTATTACCTAGACTCAGCTAGACTGATTTTTTTTATTTCAAAGAGAGATTGTTGAACTGCGAGTCAGGAAATCAGAAGACTTTAATCGGGTCTACTTTCCGAAAAGGTCTTCTGATCCAAGTATGAGGTAAGTTTTGACTGAGTCAAGGGTTTTTTAGAATACCGTAAGTAAAAAACACTTCCTATATAAACTGCCAAGGAAGCAGAATGTGGAGGGGCCACAAATTTGATGCATCCTGGATAAAAATGATTTTTAAAAACGAAAAGATAGAGATGAAATCATGTATTCAACTATCAGATCTCGAAGCCCTAAACAGAATTAGGTTGTATACTTATCTGATGAATTTTCCCTCTTTAAAATCGAAATAGCAATAACTGTAAATGTATAAAATAATCATGAAGATATGATGATGCAGCGTCCATGACTAAGCTTCGACGAGAAAGAAGAGTGAACATACTATTTAGTGATTAGATTCAACCAACGAATTGAAGGTATCAATACCACTGGATAACCAACACAGAAAGTGAAAGATGTGCGAGAAATTTATTTAAAAGTGCTTTATCTAATGCAAGCTGGGATGGAAACCGTAGTCAACTAAGGTTGCATAGAGTAATGAAATAATGATTCGATTCACACAAGGGTTAAAGACAAGATCTAGGCGAGGCAAAGCGAATGTGAAATTTGATGTAGAAGTGAGACCTACTCATATCATCGGGAGAAAATTGAACCATCATTTCTTCATCACCTGATGCGAACTAAGGTAACCGGGACTCATATTAATTTAGATCGTAGGCCTATCACATTTTATAATGGGATTGCCGATGAGGCATATTTGCATCTATCACCAAAATCGACTACGTTACTTTAATTTGTAATAAGTAGTTATATGAGCTGTATTCGACCTATTTCGTTTGAGGTGATAAGGGACTGGTAGTAGAATTTTCCCACAATGAAATTCACATCTGCCCTGTTACCCAAGGGCATTCGTGGAAATGTGGTCGAGTGGTTAACGTGTCAAGCTCACATGCTGCCCTGTCATGGTTCGACTCCCGCTGGGTATGTTGATAGGACCTATACGAGGTCGAAACTGCAGTTCACTGGTGCCTGGATGAAAACAACTTTTGGGAAAGCAAGGATTGTGAAATTCAAAGGAAACGCCAGCTCTACTCATATGATTGTAGGAAATTTCAACTACAAGTCCTTTATCACCTTAAACGAAATAGGGTAAACGCATATCAGCTCATATAACTGATTTACTGTTAGTCTCTAAACTCTACTTATATACAAAAAATATAATAAGTAAGTTCCGAGAGTATTGGAGGCTACATATTTTAATGAAGCTGGAATGGTATATAACACTAGCAGGTTTTAATTCCCTATTAGATTGTAGATATGAAGACCTAGATGGTGTTACCTTCTGTTTGATGTCAGCCTCCTTTAGACTTATAGTGCTGATTTGACCTCGTTCTAGCAAATTAGGCGAAGCGTCAGGGCGACCTTGTGGAACGTACCTAGTCCTGTGTTCTCTGACATAATATTCGTGAGTTCCAGCACCGGACCATTGGGACGTTTTATAATATACCAAGTCAATTGTCTGCTGCTGGGTAACGAAGAGCTAAATGTACTTCTCTTTCAGCACTGAATAACCAAGAAGACTTTCAATTTAAATAAAATTAATGTGTCCTTTTTATTATACTTAAGATACGGTGTTGCTATGATGAATTTCTCGAAAATAATTGTGAAAAATCTAATGACAAATCAGCGAGCTATTGAAAGAGTTAATACTTTTAAACCAATGATCGTCGACTTCATGGACCCAATGTTATAAAGGATAGCAAGGAGACAGAGTAGTTGAAGCTGCATAGAAGCAGCTTTCTAAAAAAGTAAAGCGACGCAGGGCCGACAGAATCTTTCTACCAAACTTTATTCATAAGGATAACAAGCAAGTTCCAATGAGACGCTAAATCAATGACCCCCGGCTAATCCGTGCCACTGCAGACATTGTTATCCCAGAACGACGAAGATGCTCATATTAGATCTTATGGTACTCTAATAAAGGATAAGGTGAAAGAGTTAAACAAACAAAAGAAATTATGCTAAAGAAGAAGAGTGTAATGGTTTGGAAAGAGGCATCAAGTTAATTTATAGTGCTAAAGAACCTGGAGGTTGTAAACAGGATGATCCATCAGTGACAGCCATCTTGCCGCTGGTAGAAGAAAGGCCTTTTGACAGCTCCTCAGCTACGACCTCGCTGACTACGAGACGAAAAGAAATCGGCACTGATTGCGTACGGAGGGCTCGCTCTATAAAGTCAACTGTGAAAATTGGTCCTTCTTCATCAGGACCTAGGCTGTATGAGTTAATAAATATTAATATATACAAAACGAATAAGCAAACAGAATTAATACAATACAAAAATATTTTTTTAGCGTGTCATAAACTTGTGCAATTTCTACTATATTATAAGTCAAAAACGAGGTATAAGAGAATAATTCAAGGGCCTGAGAGCCAATATTATGAGTGGATTGTTGAAAATCGAAGATTCCAAGCTACAGAATCCCTCATCATCATTAGTAAATAAAATAGCAAAAAAATTACATGCCTCCTTATACTTAAAGTAGATTTTAATAATATACTAATAATATTTCAAAAATATGAGAATTGTACATTTATTTTTTTGTTGGCAATCAGAATGGATTAAAATGGCAAAATGACTGAGGTCCAAAATGGAAACTTCCTCTGTCTATTTTAACTAAGATGTCTGTAATAAAATTAAAAATGACAAGATCATGAAGCAAGGAAACTAGATTTATTTAGAAGATTCAACTACTTGCTACAAGGAATCATCAAAGAGGAAATATGTGATGGCGAATAAGGTTGATTGGAAGCATACGAGAAGATCCATTTACCTGGTCGAACTAGCGCTGTTGGTATCAACAATGCGACCTTGCGCACCCAGTTGCCTAGCGAGCAGCTGGATTTGTCCCAATAGAAGAGAGGAGGCTTTAGTAGAAACAGCAGCCTTGCTCGACTCCCAGCGAAAGAAACGAAGATCAGCCGATCGGCTCAGCAAGGGCCTAATAAAAGTTGATGGTAGATAAAATAAAAAGGTTGAATAATATTATAGGAGAGTAGTGCGTTAAGTAATAAGAACCACGTCTGAAACGAAAAAGCGAATATGTATAGAGAAATAAATAATACAAATAGGAGAAAATAGTAAAAAAATTTGTGATAGAAACAAGAGAGAAAGACGATTTCGAGAAATAGAGTTAAGGAAGGGATCAATACCGACATTAAATATATTAAAAATAGAGTGTATAGGATATATGATAAAGGAAAGGTGGTATAGAAGTGGGTTGACCTCATTTTCGCAACTACGTCTTGTTGTCAGAACGACTTAGTTGGACGTACCTTGTCCGAAGTCCTCTGTCGTAGTAGTTATCCTAATTCCTAGCGTAAGATCGTGGACTTGGTATATTCTCAAACCCACGGTCTGACGCTAGGAATTAGGATAACTACTACGACAGAGGACTTAGGACAAGGTGTGTCCAACTAAGTCGCTCTGACAACAGGACCAAGTTGCGAAAACGAGGTCAACTCACTTCAATACTTCGAAAGGGTATTGCGAGCACACCGAGGGCCACACCATCTTGGTCTTCATACCTTCGAAAGATGGTATGGTTAAAAGGGAAAAGTCGGAGGAATTATTAGCAGGGAAAGTGAGAATGAGATGTTAAAACATTCGCCCACGATCTAAATAAAGGATAAGCGGTCTTTAATTACTTTGTTCCAATTACTACCCTCGCTTAAATAGCTTAATTTTGAAAGATGGAGGGATCAAAAATAGTAGTACCCTTTAATGCACGTAAGTATTCATCAAAACAATTCTTCTCAAAGTATTATAGCCCCAGTCAGAGATTTACAGGTACTCGAAAACACTTTTTACCAAAAAGTACAAACATGTAGAAAATAATAGTAATAATAATCTGTTAATGGTGGGCAATTCTTACTGCAGTAAGAGTCAGATGCAAATACGACTGGGAATCAAGTTGGATGAATATGCGGAGTGGTAGGTGATTATGAAGTTCAAGGTAAGGCCTGTTTTCCGCTATTTTAGAGGAAAAACAGTATCGCGGAGCAAAAATAAAAATTCATATATTCACCCAATTTCGTTTAAAGTGTTGAGGGGACTCGTAATTGAATTTTCATCAAAATAATATGAACCTGCCTTGCTTTCCAAAAAGCATTCTCATCCAGACAAGGTTGGACTGCACTATCAACCCCACCTCAGCGGGACTCGAACCGTGAAAGTGCAGCACATTATTTAGACAAGTCAACC